TTCGCAGCCGACCACCTCTTCAACATGTAAACCAGAATGTGTCCCCTTTCCCTAATACCCTTCCATGCCTTCTCAGATGGCAAAGTGCAAACTTATTTTCATGGCCTGTAAGAGCCTACTTGCTCTGCTTGCTCCCGTGTTTCTGATCTTACCGCCTTCCATCTCCCCTTTTCTGCTGCACTTACAATTGATGGTCTTTCTGATTTTCCACCATGTTAGCCCTGTAGGGTGGCTTGTCCTCATCTGTTCTATAGATGATTCCTTCTGGTCATTCAAGTTCATCTGCATGAATGGTATGATTACAACTTACAGTTTTTATAGTGCTTCATTTCATGAACAGCCCTTGTGAGCATTTACACTTTGATTAGTGTCTGTGGTTGATGTTGAGTCCTAGTCTAGGTCCTCTACCAAGCCATTGACCCCATTTCTCCCACCTGCTCTGTTGGCTGTTTATGGCCCTTTGCCCTCAGCCAGTTGGGAATCCTCGCACCTGGGAGGCTGCGCTCATAGCCTATATCCAGTGACTGGCCAGCCCAGAGCTATCAAAGCCCAACCTGGCGCTGATGGGACTACTCTTTGGTGCAGTGTGTGCTCTGGGCCTTTCCTTTTTCGGGAGCCCCTTAAAGCTAGCCTCCTGCCAGCAGCACGCTGTTACTTAGCTTTTCTTTTTTCTGCTCCTGCACTTCCTTTCTGAGAGCTCACGCCCAACAAATCACCACTATATGAAGCAGGCTCTCCTAGGGAATCCGACCTAAGACATTTTCAGGTTAAATACTTCTGCTTTTCAAACACCCTCACAACAGATAGAACGTATACAAATACGATGATTGCAAAACATTCATATTTTACACCCAAACCTTTGTAGTGCTGTCAGCTTTGTTTCTTCTTCCGCATTTCCCGTCTTTTGATAACTCTTTTACATGTCTCTAGGAGTTTGTCAATTTGGTTAGGTCCAAGGGAAAAAGAAATAACAGTCTCAGACAAGCAGGCCAAGGTTGCAGGCTCTAGCTTGTCAGTGATTGACTCTCTCCGGGATGGATTATGGGACCTGGTGGCACAGCCCACGGGTCTTCAAACTGGAGCCCTTTGTCGGGAAGGCTTTTCCCTGTGTCCTGTAGCTCTGCACGTCTCTTAGTCCATGCAGATGAAAGATGCTTATTATTAAAGAATTTCCAGTAACTTTACATTATTCGTGATGTTTTGTTTTTTAAGTTCTACTTAATGGCCATTATTCAGCCCACCTGGCCTCTGGGCAGTATGATCTTTCCTTCCAGTGTTTTATGATGGTTAGTATATTTTTAAAAAAGGAATGGAGATTTCCTTTCCTAGAGGTTGTGTAGTTGTCGTTCCTCTTCACAGGGGTTGTGTGGAGCACACTGAAGGGCACTCTCTTTAATTGCCGTGGTGATGACCGCCGACCCTCATGCCCTGGGCTGGCGTTTTACCTAAGGTAGTTGCTGGTTTTCTTCCAGGACTTCCTGATTCATTCCAGGTTCTTATCCTTTCTGACTTATACAGGTAGAAACAAGTTATATTTCTCAGCAAAGAAGCAAAATATCCACACATGTTGACTCTTAGTTAATAAAAATCCACAAAAGTGAACTTTATATGATTTTTGTTAGCCTGTTTGTGGGCTCGGTTATGTTGATTATTTTTATGTTAAAAGTATCACAGGTTGGCTTGTTGGGCCTTCTTAGTCCTTTCAGTGGTGCCCCAGATGTTTTGACAGCATTTTGGCCCAAACTGTTTCCTGGCTGCTTTTTCCTGTCTTAAGACAAGGTTAACCATTCTCCAAGGATTATCTGTTCCATCTGATGAAGAATGTGTGTCTTGGAGGCCAAAATATGACTGTGGGTGAAAGGTGGGGAGCAAGAGGACTGCATTTCTAGTGGGTCGCTTCTGGCTAATATTGAGAGATCTTTACCGTGATACCTTTTAAGCCTACAGATTTACATTGCTACTGTAGTGTGCTATGATCCATACTCTACCTTATCTTTAGAGATTCTTTTCTCATTGGACTTTTGTCCTGTGTTGGTACTTTCCCCGAGAGGCCCTCTCTGTGTGAAGTGGCCCTCCCCTGTCATTGAGTATTGGTCATTTACCCTACTCCACATCCTTCAGGGCACTTACCATTATCAGAAGTAATGACGTGTTTACACGTTTACTGCTGCTCCGTCCCCTCCTCTGTCGCACCCCCAGTGTAAGCTCCGTGAGTACAGACCATTTTGCTCAGTACCTAGAGTAATGTCTTACACATGGACGGCATTAGACGCTTTTGGAATGTACGTGCTTTGTTTTCTCATTATCACTGCTTTATAGTATTTTTTTTCTCCCTGAGACATTTTGCAAAGCTTTGATCTTACTGAGAAACAAGAATCTCATCAACCCATCGAGTTTGCTCGAGCTCTTCTTTGAACTTCTGCGCTGCCACGATAAGCTTCTGCGAAAGGTAAGAGCAAGACGCCTTTCCCCCGATGTCTCATTCTTCTAAGGGCTGCAAAACCCAGTGTTTGGGGCGCTTGTATTCTTGGTGCTTTATATTATTGATTGAAGTTAAGAGTAGGGAAAACAAGTACCATCGTGAGTGCAATGTGGTAATACTAGCTAACATTTATTGGGGGCTCACTTTGTCTAACGCCATTCTAAGAGCGTTCTGGTATTAACTCCTTCACTCCTTACAGATCCCTATGTGATAGTGATGGTGGTATTGCTGTTACTACTCTCACTTCACAGATGACAAGGCTGAAGCTCAGTGAGAGAGAGACAGACAGAGATAGGCTGTACCTACCCTCCCTGCAAAGAAAACTAACTTTTAATGAACATTTCCCTATTGCTGTGTATTTCCTTATACTAACGGGACCAGAAGCTGAAGACGTATTAGTGAAATTTAGTCTTTTGGGGCCTGTGTGGAGTAAAGTGGTCTGTAGGGCACCAGTAGCTTTCCATTGACTCATTTAAAGTATATTCATGGAGTTTTACACGCCCGATAAACCCTATACGGTACTCATTGCCAGTCACTCCCGTTAGCCTCCCTGCATCTCCCCGAGCGCTGGGCAGTCGTTTATGTACTTTGGGTCTGTACATATTTGCCCATTCTGGATGTTTACTGTAAGTGGACTGTGTGGCCTTGGGTCTTATGCTGGCACAGGGCTGGCATGGCTCGTCCGTGTGGCACGTTGTTCCGCATGCTGACTGAGAGCTTGCTGTGTGAGTACACTCAATTTTGTTACCCACTCATCAGTCACCGGGAGCTGGCATTGTTTCTACCTCAGGACTCTTACAAAAAATGCTATTTTGAAATTGGTCCTATATAAATTGTGAGGCAAATATTTTTTCTTTTCTCTAGGGTATATAGGTAGGAGTAGAATGAATAGCTGGACCATATGGAAAATTTATGTTGAACTATCTTGTTCTTGTAAAATATGCTTCAGAAAGCATTTGCCACCTCTGAGCCCTTTCATGTAGACAGCTCAGTGACACTAATGACGTCCACTGTGCTGTGCAAACATCCCCACTCTGTTTCAAAATTTTCCACTCACCCATAATGGGGACTCCGCGCTCATAATACTGAACTAGTCATTGTTGCTTGAGGGAGTGGAGTGACGGTGCTTGGTCCTTTTTATGATGTAATGAAAAGTGTGTAAAGTGAAATCATCCTCAACATGTTATGTTCCTCCACGTGGGGCAAGGTTAGAAATGTCGGTGAGGCTTAATGGGTGTGTGCTTCTGTTTCTTTCCTCAGACTTTGTACACTCACATTGTGACTGATATCAAGAACATCAATGCAAAACACAAGAACAATAAAGTGAATGTAGTAAGTAGCCTTTTGTCTTCCGTGTTCACCGCGCTGTCCCACTGGAGCACTGAGCCTCTCTCTTGTTCGTCAGGTGCTGCAAAACTTCATGTACACCATGCTAAGGGACAGCAGTGCAATGGCAGCTAAGATCTCCTTGGATGTGATGATTGAGCTCTACAGGAGAAACATCTGGTAAGAGACAGATAGTGCTGTTTAGAGATAGACCCCTTGATGTGTGGATTTACAGAGCACGTACAGAAATGCTTTCCGTGACCTCGTGATCTGTAAAAGCTCTATGATAGACCAAGTTGGAAGTAAAAGACAGAGGTAATCCAAATGACCAGTAACAACACTGACTACGCTCTGTTGAAGCCAGGCACTCGGTATTACCTCTTCCCTCCGTCACCACAGCTAATGCAGCATCTCTGAAATCATTCATAGGGAAAGAAAGGAGGTGTGGAGATCTTAAGGTTACTGGCTAGTAAGGGGCAGATCGGAAAAGCAAACCCAGCCTTTGCAGACTCCAAAGTCTGTTCTTTCCGCTTTATAGCTTTCAAGATTTTCAAGCCAGTTTGTCTGATGTATGTAAAATGTTGTTTCACAGACTCCTTTCTATTGGTGTGGTGGTACCAACTTTTTGGTTTTTTTTAACAATTTTATTGGCGTATGATTCACATCATACAATTCAATAATTCAGTGATCTTCAGAAGAGTAGTACAGTCATTTCCATACTCAATTGTAGGACATTTTATTCTTTCTTGTACTCATTGTTCCCAGCACCCGATTTCCCCCCATCCTTACCTGCCATACCCCTAAGAAACAAACTATTAATCCAGTTATTGTCTCTATAGATTTGCCTAACCTGGGTTTCATAAACAGAAAAGCAGACACGCCGAAAACCACAAGAAACTAACAACAGTAACAAAATAAAACAGAAAAATCTCCACACAAAGAAAGCAGAAAATACTGAAAAGTAGAACAAGTTTAAAATGTCTCAAAAGGGAGATGAAATGATCAGATGCTAAATGTTACCCTAACTGCATCTGCAGTAACGCACTTTCCAGGGCACTCTCCATGAAAGGGGATTCACTGGAGGCTTAATCCATGTGTAGTTCCCTTCACGGTTTTTTAACTGAAACAGCTGTAAATGGGTCCAAGGAGAGATCAAATGATAAGATATTACATTTTAACTTCTTGTTGATTACTATTATTTACCAGCATCAATAAGTAAAAAGGGCATTTACTTTATCGAAGTTACTGATAGTCCCACCACACAGAGGTGATCACTGAACGTTTTTTTAAGTAGTCT